GGAACTAAAGTATCCCAGAGGCATTGATGGCATGGCTTGCACTTAGGGATGGGAGGGTGGAAGGAGGAGAAACCATAGATATTACAGAGAAGAATTAGTCACAGATGAAAACTTCAAACATAATGCCTGGGACAATTGGTGTTTAACAAGTTGTAATTGATGCTGAATTTTTCTGCATGTCATTGCTTTCTATGGTCAGACATAGAAGAGCAAATCCATAAGAAATATGCTATTACCTGAATTTGACCCCGACTTTTAGAGTTGGAATTATTAAAACATGAGAAACCAGACAAATGTCCCACATGCAGGGCCAGTCCTTACCAGGACACAGCAGAGTTCACCCTTCCCCTGCCCCTCCTCAGTACTCTGAAGTCTGGGGCAGGCCATGTGGAATGACCAAATTCCACCAAATGGGCTTGAATCTGTGAATCATTTCAACTGGATCAGAAGCAGATGGACAGTTTATGGGATGCTTCCCGACCAAACATTTGCTTCTAAGCCATGCAACCCTTGACAAGAACTACAGAGCTCTGGCAAAACAAGAAGCTGCCAAAATTATGTTGCTTTCCCAGAGAACCTCTTGCTGACCCAACCCTGATTGAGATGGAATGCAGACCATAGCAGAGAGCAGGCAGCTGGAGACAGGAGCTGGCCTCACATGTACCTTACTCAGAATTCAGCGAGAAGTGGACTCTGTCTTGCCACAGAATTGCCACCACCCTAGTTGGATACAGTGTCAATCAGTGCCTTTATTGCTTTTTGTTGGCAGACTCTCCTGCTCAATTCTAACATTCATTTGGGATGTAGATATTTCTGTAGTCTGGAAGACCAGAATGGTTTATTTCTCATGTTCAGTCAAAACACTTCAGAAAATATTTTAGTTGAAAGGAGAAACCAGACCATGAGATTAGTTTCTTCCCACATCCTAGTTACTAAGTTTGATTTAAATCTTGGTCCCTTCCATCCTAAGTGTGACATATTTTGGTAAAGCAGGAAGAGCACTGGAAAGGAAATGAGGTCATTTTATTTGAGTCCTAACCCTCACTCCGTTATTAACTAGCTTTGAGAATTTGAGCAAGTTGCTCCCTCCCTGGGGTCTGTGACAAGTTGGTTCCCTGAGAAACAGATGGAGACTTTGAGATTTGCATGCAGGAAGTTACTGAGGAATATCCCCAGGAACCACACGAATGAGGGATGAGGGATACTAGATGACAAAGGGAGACTTTGAATTGTAATGAGGTTGGCCCATCAGAGTTGCTCACTTTAAAGTAAAAAGAACAGCTTTATATCTATAGCCCCCTCTCTACCCCCCCCCCACCCACCCACACACTGCATCAACCATTGAATATGGCTATCCTTTAGTATGGGTGTAATTTAGAGCAAGGCAGCTATTTTTTTTTTATGACAAACACTTTTTAAAAGGACTCAGCTATTCACATTCACAGCAGACTTAGTCTGAAAGTAGGATCTGGACTGCACACTACAGCATGCACTACATACTGTTCTTTAGTTTCAACCTCAATAATGTGACTGAGTTGAAAATGTCCATAACAGTTATCTAGTGACACAATAAGGCTATGTAATAAAGACCCACACACCTCAATGGCATACACCATTAGATATTCATTTAGTTACAAGTTTGTAGGGTTTAACTGATATGGGCATGGCTTGGCTAGGCTTGCTCATGTATCTTCAGTCAGCTGCAGGTTGGTTAGGTGGTTCTGCTGATCTTGGCTGGGCTTGCATAAAGGCTAGGTGTCAACTGGGTGCCAGCTGATCTGGAATAGCCCTGGCTAGGATGAGACCAGAGTAACATGACTTGACTTATTCTCTAGTTGTCTGGTGTGGATATGTAATCATAGTAATGGTCTAGGCAAGAGCAATTCCAAATGTGCAAACTCACTTCTAGCTTCTATTTGTGTTACTTGTGCTAACAAAGCAAAACAAAATCAAAAGGCAGGAGAGTTCAACCCATTTCATCATAACAGGGAGCCACAGTTACTGGGCAGAGTGTAGTGGGTACAGGGAGGGGTGGAGAAATGGGGCCATTTTAAAAATCTGCTATAATCTCCAACTCCCTTCTGTCTCAACCGCTCAATGGTTTTTGTGATTTTATCTGTTAGGTAAATGCTAATAGTCTACTTTTTATTCTGATTAGGAACTTGAACTCTGTTGAAGTATACTTATTTCTGAATCCAGCACCCAAAGCAGAATCAGTTCCAGACACTAGAGACAAATATTTTGTTTAATGAACAAAAACAAAAATGAATGTGTGTTGGGAACTAAAAGTAGCAATTCCTAAGTTTGAGATAAAAATCTGGTTTGTAAAATCTTAGAATCAGAAAAGAAATTGTTAAGGGCATTTTGAAAATCAGTCTTTAAATGATCTTTTTCTCATTATTAATTATTTCTAATCACAAAGTAAAATATGTTTCACGTTAAAATATAAATAATTATAGACATGCATATAGTAAACAATGAAAGTTTCTACCCTACCTCTCCCCACTCTCCAGAGGCAACTGTCGGGGCAGAACAATAATTTTTCTTTTATCCTTCTAAGTCCTGATAATCAAAGTAACTAGAGACTGATTAACAGGATAAAATGACCAATCTTATTACTTATGTACATACAAGGGTTCCTTATGAATATAGGATCCAGGGACAAATTGAGTAGGAGTTGTTTGAGACTTCAAAGTGCAGGAAGGCAGTTTACATGTAGATGGTAAAGCAAACTTTTGACAAATAAAATTTTGTTGGGCTAACTTTAACAATGAGACCCAGAAAAGACTTTGATCAAAGAGGCCTAACTAGGTTCCTTCATTTCCATCACACCGAGTTTATATTAAACTACATTTATCTATGATGATATCTCCCTTCCTGAGCAGGCCCTCTGTCTAAATTCTTCAGGGAGAAGGTAAAAGCTTCTCTTCCTGAGTGTCGTTTCTTAAAAATAACCAGCTTAAAATAGTCACTATCCTAAAAAAAGGCATATTCTGGAGTGACAAATTCTGCTTCTCCTCACAACCATTGTTAACAGCTGTATGTCCTGCTGGACCTTTTCCGGTGCATATTCACATGTGGATGTATTATCTTTTGTCTTATTTCCTTTTAATGAAGAATAAAGTCATACTATACATTTTATTCTGCAACTAGGTTTTTTTACTCAACGAGATATAATAAATAAAAAACAATAACACAGATCTAGCAGTTCTTTTTAATTGATTTATGTTTTATCAATGAGAGCAAAATGTGCATCTAAAAATAGTTTGGCCGAAACCGGTTTGACTCTGGATAGAGCATCTGTATGCGGACTGAAAGGTCCCAGGTTTGATTCCGGTCAAGAGCATGTACCTTGGTTGCAGGCACATCCCCAGTAGGAAGTATGCAACAGGCAGCTGATCAATGATTCTCTCTCATCGATGTTTCTAAGTCTCTATCCCTCTTTCTTCCTCTCTGTAAAAAATCAATAAAATATATTTTTAAAAAATAAAAATAGCTTGTATGTATGAGGTATATTATTTTTCATTTTGTGTACAGCGTTTGGTCCTCATGTAGGTTCCTTGCCTTTGGACCACCTCCATGAAGAACCGTTTTGATTTGGGAAGGAAAACAAATTATTTCCTTTCTCATTTTGATCTACTTGGGAGAAATTGAGTTTCTTGTTTATATGCTTTCAACAAAACTAATCAAATAAACAAAAGTGATAGTTAAATTATAATTGTTTCTTTAAAAAAATAAATACAAGAGTGATGGTCAATGGTACTCAAGCTATATAACTTCAGTATCTGCAAAATGGTGGTTGTTTCTACTGCACTACAATTCATTGGGTTAGCAATGTTAATAATAACTGATAGATTCTCTTCACTAATATATCTATTAATCACATATTTGTTAAGTTTAAATTCTTATATTAAAGTACAGGGGATTATTTTGGAGATAAAATGTCTAGTAGAGTTGAAGGAAACACTGTGACTTGTATGAGAGAGAAGGAATAAATAAAGCTGTCCTATCACTTCCAAAATGCTTTCCAGACATAGCAGTTGCCATTTTCATATCTCTTATTAACCCAGTGGCACCTTTAGGAACCATTCTGAGTTATAATAATTTATTTTTAAGACTTAATATTTGAAAACAAATAGATAATGGTTTAAAACTTCCATAAGTTTAGTAACACTGTCTTAAAATTATATTGACTTGAAAATTTTGGATTATGAATAGTTTGACTTATTTCAAGTGCCAGGTGAACTTGATACTAGGCTTGAACATATACTTTTCCTTTGTCTCTATAGCCATGGTCGGCAAACTATGGCTCTTGAGTCACATGTGGTTCTTTGGCCCCTTGAGTGTGGCTCTTCCACAAAATACCATGGCCTGAGTGAATCTATTTTGAAGAAGTGGTGTTAGAAAAAGTTTAAATTTAAAAATTTGGCTCTCAAAAGAAATTTCAATTGTTGTAATGTTGATATTTGGCTCTGTTTATTAATGAGTTTGCTGACCACTGCTTTATAGCAATGACATGGTTCACTGATTTCCAAAGTGATTGTAGAATAAAAGGGAGAAACAGACCCAGATTTTAGACTTAAATAAATAGCTAAAACTAAAATAAATTTTAAAATTAAATAAAACGTAAAAGTACCTTGCCTACTTCCCTGCTGAATTAGGGTGATGACTCATACTGGGTGAGGTGGCAGTCTTCTTGCAGGGATGATTCATCAGTCCCTCATTTTGCTCCTAATGATTTACTTTAACCAAGATGGGCAGAGATGGAGCTTGGTCTTCTTTAGAAGAGCGATTTTCAAAATGAGTTTACTTATTCAGTCATTTCTGTATTTATTTATTCACTTTGTAAATTTTTATTTAAACCAAATGTTAGTTGAATATGTGCAACTAATGTAAGCTGTTCTAATTAACAGCTCTGGAGGCCCAGAGCTTCTACCCATTTGTTTCTTTTGATTTCTATCTTGTCACACCATATTAATTCACATTTCATTTGCTTTAAGATAATGAGAAACCCATGCAAGTGGTGGATGATGAGGATTTGGTAGACCAGCACCTCATCAGTGAGCTGAGGAAAGAGTATGGAATGACCTATGATGACTTCTTCATGGTGCTAACAGATGTGGACCTCAGAGTCAAGGTATGGGTTCCTGATTTAGGTAATGTGGTGCCATTCCTTATAACAGCAACTTTAAAATTTTTTGTCACCAAGTCTATTAGATATGAGTGAACACACATTAATTTATAAATGGGAAAATTTTGAAATGGTCCAAATAGTCCATGTTGGTCTTTAGAATTTGTGTCCAGAAATGTGGTCTCTGAAAAAGACTGGGTTGGATGACCTCTTATGCCCCACTTATTTGACTCAGATTAAATTCTTCTGTAACATCAATGTCTTGCATTCATTAGACAGTTGTTGAATAGCTATGGTGTGCCAGGCCCTGGGGATAAGAGATAAAGAGTATTTGGCCTCTGCCTTCAAGACAACCAGATTTGACATAGGCCTACTTTGGAAGGGCCTACAAGTTTAATTCTTGATCAAATATGGACAAGACAGTAAGGTTTTATACCTACTTTGTTCATATGCTTGGGGACAAAGGTTCTGAAGTATGAAGAATCATTTTTAAAAAATAACAAAAATAGATAACTTTATTGAGTGCTTTCCTTATGCCAGGCACTCAGCTTAACTCTCGATGACCTTTATCTCAGATATCTAAAATAAATAACAAAAGTTACTTTTGTTTCGCAGAGGAATAAACAGAGGTCCAGGTTAGTTAAGTATCACACAAGTTACCTAGTTAGCATTGGACTTCATAGCCATACAGACTTGCTCCAGTGTCCACTGTCTTAGCCATATGTGTGTACAGAAGTATATCATGCTTATGTGAAAATCACCAGGAAAAAGTCTGCCTTGGCTATCCGAATAGCTGATTCAACCTGCAGTATTTTTCTGGATTAATTCTTCTTGTACTTGTGCAGCTGGCTTCCAATCTTAGATAATCCCTAAGGTTTCTGCCAGCTTTAACATCCTCTGGTCAACTTAATTTCCCACTGGGAGCCTATATAGCTTAGGTTGCTGTTGTAAGTCCAGACAAGAATGATCCAGCAAATTTAATTTCATTATCCTTGAATTGTATCCCAATTCTTTTCTGAGAATACTTAAGGAAGCAACCTAATTTTTAGTGATGGTCACTCAATAAAATAATCTCTGGGAATCATAAAGAGTTTTTGCAGATTCCTAATGGCCAAATAACAAGTCCACTTCTGGTAGACAATTACCCTTATTGCTCAGGTGGAACATTCTAACACATTATTCCATCCCTGTGTTAGATAAAGCATTTCTCATTTCCCCGCCAATTGTGTAGTGAACAGGAACCAGTTTAGTCCCAGAGGTAGGGAAGTGAACATAAGATATGTGTGGTGAAGGAGGCATGGACCCTTTCCAATAAAAGGAGTGCAGTTGAGAAGCAATCCTCATAAAAGTTAAGTGGCAGTTGTCTCATGGATTCGGAAGTTCACAGCATCAGCAGAAGTAAAATGACAGGAGAGAGTTTCTAAGCCACTGAGCCCTCTAGGCTCTGATTTTTTTCAGAGCTCCCTCGATTTCTCCTGTGCTCCCTGTTTTCTGAGCAGATGGAAGAAACACTCTTATACATTATATACTTTCTATTCTTTCTTAAACAGCAATATTATGAGGTGCCTATAGCAATGAAGTCTGTGTTTGATCTGATCGATACTTTCCAGTCCCGAATCAAAGACATGGAGAAACAGAAGAAAGAAGGCATTGTTTGCAAGGAAGACAAGAAGCAGTCCCTGGAGAACTTCCTATCCAGGTACATCCCCTTTGGGGTTTCCGAGGAGGAAGGTGGGAATGTGTTGTGGGTAAGCTAATGAAAACGCCCAGGAAGCACAGAGCAGACATATGCAGAGAGCAAACTTTCCTGGCGAAAGATCTGTCTGCTTCCCAGCCCTCTGGCCCCTGGGCTTCATCTTTGTCTTGTCTGAAGTGGCTCTGGTCACAAGGCTGATTGGGGGCAGCTGCAAGCTTGAATGCCAATTTAATGGCTTTGGATACATCTTTTCTGCTCCTTTTTGGGGCACAAAATACAGAATTCTGCCCTGTGAGGGTTACCTTATTCAGTCAGTGAATTTGGAGGACTTTGTATCCAACAATTTTATTTTATTTATGTATTTACTTATTTATTAGGCCCCTTCTAGTTTCAAACAGGATTTGGAACACTGTTTGATTTTCTGCTTCCTTCCAACTCTGCTGAGAAAACAAAAGCCCTACCAGGACCTCAGAAGGAGCAATTCTCTTGACCCAGCTCCCTGGTTCCCCAGGGAGAGTGGTTTATTGCAAATCCTTGTAGAGAAGCTCTTTTCCTTACACACAGAAGAGAATGTAAAATATATATATATCTTCATGTCATTCCTTCCTTTCCTGCATATTGAATAAAAATTCTATAGGGCCTTTGGGGCCCTAGCAGGTACAAAACTGTACTGATTCCACCTAAAACAAGTAGACTCACCCAAACTGAATTGTGTGGCTGTGAAGCTGCTGAAATGGAGCGAGCCTTTGCTTGGCAGCTCGGTGTTAACTGTATCACTCCAGGCAGAACTTCCTTACTTGTATCTATAAAGCACATTCTCCATAAGCGAGTCAGAGAATCAAGAATTCTATGATGTGTAAATGATAATCTGATTTCTTCTAGATTCAGGAAGCATAGGTCTCTTAGGCGATAACCTCATGATGTGTAAGGAGCATAGGACGGACTATCATTCATCTAAGTTTTGGGTCTGCAATTTACTAGCTATTTTGCCCCTATGTTTCTTTTTTTTTTTTAAATATATTTTATTGATTTTGTACAGAGAGGAAGGGAGAGAGATAGAGAGTTAGAAACATCGATGAGAGAGAGTCATTGATCAGCTTCCTCTTGCACACCCCCTACTGGGGATATGCCCTCAACCAAGGTACATGCCCTTGACCGGAATCGAACCCGGGACCCTTCAGTCCCCAAGCCGACGCTCTATCCATTGAGCCAAACCAGTCCCAGCCCCCTATGTTTCTTAATTAAAAATCTCTCAGGGAAAAATGAGAACAAAGATAGTAAGTAGTCCTACACCTCTACCAAGGTTGCTGTGATCACTTGCTGTATGCTCACCTCTGTGTCAAGCACTTCACCTTCTTTTGTGGGTTTAGTCTTCACAACGATCCAGTGATACAAATACTATAACTATTGTCATGTAGCAGATTAAACATCATGAGATTAAGTAACTTTCATCACTCAGCTAGTGTCAGCACTAGGACTCTGTGGCCCCAGCATAACCTGGCTACCAAAGTCCACATTCTTATCTACTACTCCTTTTGAAAATACAAAATGAATGATTTTTTGTCTTGAACCCAGAGGCCCAGAGTTTGAAGTGAAAGAAGATCATCCTAAAACCACAGAATTTCAGAGCTAAAATGAATCTGAGGTTCTTCACCCAAGTTTTCGGTGCAATGCAAGTACCTAGAATGGAGATGGCAAGTGCATGTCTCCACAGGACCTCTCAGTTCAGCTTTCATGCCACTCTTGGCTGAGAAAGGGTGCTAGGACACCACAGGCAAATGGCTTCTTGTTCAGTCCTGGAGCCACTGAAACATCAACTTTTGATCCCAGGTCATCCCTGTAGATGGCAATGACTTAGAAGAAGAAGAAGAAGAAGAGCGTATGGTTGTTTGCAGGGAGATTTTTAAAAAGTATATTTTCCTTTTCTTTACATTTCCCCCTTCCTTTCTTCCTTGCAGAAAAGATTCTTTAAAAGTTTGCTTTTGATTTTAGTTTTTACTTAAACACTTAAGTTTGACTTTTAAGTCTTAAAATCTATATGTATATAAGCCTAATATGCAAATTGTCTCCTCGGGTGTTTGACCAGGAGACCGGGAGTTTGATCATTCACTATAATGTGTTCTCACCACCAGGGGGTAGCGTGGAATGAAGGAAGGCCCTGCCAGCAGCCAAAAGGCCCCAATTGGCCCTGATTGCTGGCCAGGCCTAGGACACTACCTGTTCATGAATTTTGTGCACTGGGCCTCTAGTTCTATTTATAACTTAGGAAACTTTACCTATAGTTTTAAAAGGCTTTGATAATGTTTGCTCTTGCTAAAAACTCAGCTATTGAACAACATTATTTCAGACAATTTCACAGTTAATATATTTATTTTAATTGCTTGAAATAAACAAAGAATTTCTGAGAATTTAAATGACCCATAAGTTTAGTAATTTAATCTTGCAAACACAGTGAATCTAAAGTTCTCTTATATGGTCCAATAACTGTGTACACGTAGTGAGATTTCCACTTAAAACCAGACATTTACACTTACTACTCAATTACACATTCTACTTTTGAATTTTAAGGAAGTCATTTTATTAAGTCAAAGTATCTTAAGTTTCACAAGAACATATATTATATAAAGAAAACTAGTATCTTCTTATAGAGATATACATTATTATGATGACTTTGATTCTTTGAAAACATTCTCTTTTTAAATCTAAATCAGGACAAAAAGATGCATACTTTCTGAACCATCCCAGTAAACTCAGGTTGCCCAACCTCTAAAACAGTTACCACTGATGTTATTTATAACCAAGGATTTGAGCCAGCTGTGAAACTCTCAGCTGCAGATATCATGAGGTCTTCTTCTTACAATCCCAAGGCAGAATGTCTTTTTATAATCACTACGTGATTATAAAACCTGAAAAGGAAATCTGACATTAGCTCAATTTTTTTCACTCACAATCTTGCAAAGCTTATTCACATTGGGCACTGATTTGAATTAGTCTGATCTTTTTGATTCTTAAGATGTGTACACACATTTTGCATCTAAAGTCTTTTGAACTGAATGGAGCCCTATAATATGTAATTATTAGAGGCCCAGTGCACAAAATTTGTGCATGGGCGGGGGGGAGGGTCCCCTCAGCCCAGCCTGCACCTTCTCTAATCCAGGACCCTTTGGGGGGATGCCCATCCCTCTCACAATCCTGGACCACTGGCTCCTAATTGCTCACCTGCCTGCCTGCCTGGTTGTCCTGAACTGCCCCCCCCCCAGCCTGATCACCTCCAACTAACCCCCACCAGCCTAGTCACCCCTCACGGCCCCCCTGCCACCCTAATTGTCCCCAACTGCCTGCCCCTGCCAGCCTTGTTGGTGCCAACTGCACCCCCACACACACACCAACCTGATAGCCCTTAACTTACCCCCCTGCTGGCCTGGTCACCTCTTATTGTCCCCTGCTGCTGGCCTGATTGCCCCCAACTGACACCCTGCTGGCCTCGTTGCCCTTCACAGCCCCCGCTGGCCTTCTTGCCCCACACAGCCTGTTTGTTCAGTTATTTGGTCGTCCCTCACTAACCCCTATGCCAGCCTGGTCTTTAGGCAGCCATCTTGTGGGGCATGAGGGTTAATTTGCACATTACCTCTTTATTTATAGGGTATTTTTAATACTATTTTAGAAACGTATATTTCTTATGGATATTCAGAATGGTATATGATCATGATTTGGATATTCTATGGGTATACATGACTGTGGTCACAACTTAGAAATCACTGTGCTGATCATTATCATTGGTCTTAAAAATTAAAGTTCAATAGTATATTACTTAAAAGCATGAGAAGACAGACCAGAGTTTAATTTCTGCTTTCTCCACTTATTAGTTGTGTGATCTTGGACTGATTATTTAACTTCTTGTATTTTAGTTTTCTCACTTAAAAATGGGGGTAATAAGTGTATCTATTCTTAAGATTGTTAGAAAAGGTAAATTCAATACTAAAGGTAATGATTGCCCAGAATCTAGCACAAAGTGAACTATCAATAAATGCAAGTTATTAGTAGTATTAGGGCCAGTTAGATAGCTCCTAGTTAGAGAATTTTGTCATCAAGAGAGAGGTGAAGAGAGGTGAGAAAAGAAGATTTAGCAAATACCTCAGGATTAAAACCCAGGCAAAGAGAACTGAAAAAAAAAATTTTTTTAACTAAAAGTTACATAAATAAATCAATATCCAAATGGGAATTTTCCTTCAGATTTGCTGAGTTGTTGGTGGGTCTATAAAGCCTGGTTTCAGCTGACCAGACTCTAAGCCAGTCTAACCTTTAGCGACACTCATTTGGTTCAGTCTATAATTACCTTTCTCTGACACAGAAGCCCCAAAGAGTGGGTGAATGCACACTAATTTTGGTTAAGAGAAGCAAACACATCCATAGCTCATATAATTTTTATTTACTGAGAAGCTAAAGTGACAGAAAAACAAGTTGTCCAGAATAAGAATCTGGATCACACACAGTCTCTTGTTACATCCTATGGGTGTTATTTCCTTCAGTGTCGAGAGCTAGGGGCTTTTATCTTCCTGTGAAGGGCTGTGGGAGAAGAAAAACCAGCCCTTAGGGGAAATGACCTTCTCTTGGTGTGTCTGGGGCACGGAGTCTCAGACCCCATCCCTCTGCAATCAGGACAGCCGGCAGCAGTGCACACAGGTAAACAAGTCAAAATATACCTCACCCAAAATAGCTTCCTGCAGGATACCTTAGGCCCTGTGTGAGGCCAGGGAGGCTGCCCTGGTGTGGATGCTGCCTGGGGGGCCAGCGCTGACCTGGCGTGTCTCTTAAGGAAGCAGGGAAAGTGCAGGAGACCATGTTTGTGATCCGACAGCAGTCACTGGTCCCTTTCCCAGGAAACGTCGAACCGTCTCAGATGCTCCTCTCCGCTCCTCCATGCCAAACACATTCATCTCCCTATCCTCAGTGGAGATTTTAGAGTTTTTCTTTCCCTTTGAAGAAAAACAAGCAGAGGAAGCGAATGCAATGTCACAGCAAGCAATTCTTGGCGAGTCTTGCTCCAGGCATCTATTCAGAGGTTGTGTTTCATCAGACTATCATTTTCTCTCATTCACCCAAACCACTATTCCCCCAAGAGGCCATTTTCTTTGGGTTGAAAATTCTCATGTTCACTCTGAGGCTAGAAGGGGCACAGGGAGAGAAGCGATGAATAAAATAAGCTGGCTTCCAGCTCAGGGAGTACACTCACAGCCCACAGTTGCCTGCACTGGAGGCAGAAAGCAAAACCCCTTCTCCGGTGAAGGCGGAATTTGAGACAATACCATACTGCTGCCCCTTGGCTGCACATGCTCTGCTCACGCTCTCTCCCGCTTACCCTCTCAGGGACCCTGGCAGCACCAGCCAAGCAGCAGGATCACTGAGGGTGATAGATGAGGGATACCAAGGCCTGGGAGCCAGAGAAATCTGTATTTTGCTACCACCTTTTAGATTTTCTAGGTAGGCAAGTTACTTCACTTCTCTAAGCTTCATCTTGTCACCTGTAAAATGGGGACGATACGTTGTGTGCTCACTGAGTCTAATGAGGAACACATATGCTGTAGATGCAAGTGAGCTGTAAAATGATACAAACACAAGGGTTAGATCAGTTATCTTATGGGCAGTGTGATAGACAATGTCCAAGACCTGTTAATGGACACACTTCGACATCTAGGAGCCAGCAGGTGAAGACACTGTCTATACCCATGTCATTACATGGGTAACTTACATTCCTGAGCTCTGTTTCATTCTTTTTTTTTTTAATATATTTTATTGATATTTTACAGAGAGGAAGGGAGAGAGATAGAGAGCTAGAAACGTCGATGAGAGAGAAATATCAACCAGCTGCCTCTTGCAAACCCCCAACCGGGGATGTGCCCACAACCAAGGTACATGCCCTTGACTGGAATCGAATCCGGGAACTTTCAGTCCGCAGACCAACGCTCTACCACTGAGCCAAACCGGTTTCGGCTGTTAAATTCTTATAACACCTCTTTGAAGTAGATGCTATTTTTTATTCTAGAGATATTAAAAATTGAGACTTAGATGAGTTGAGAGATGTGCTTCAGGGACCACAAAAGTAGCAGTGACAATTCTTTCCTGCCTACAAGACAAACACCTTTTCCACAATCTATTGTATTGGAGCTATAATAGCAGAAACAAGTTTACTATCCTATATAATAAGGAAATATGCAGATTGACCCTAAAGGCAGAACAACCAGGAATAACTGGCATTATAACACGCACTGACCACCAAGAGGCAGATGCTCAACATAGGAGCTGCCCCCTGGTGGTCAGTGTGTTTCCACAGGGGGAGCACTGCTCAGTCAGAAGTTGGCTCATGGCTGGCCAGTGCAGCAGAGGTGGTGGGAGCCTCTCCAGTCTCTGTGGCAGCGCTAAGCATGTCCGACTAATGGCTAAAGCCCGCTCCCCATGGTGAGCGGGCCTAAGCAGTTAGTTGGACATCCCCTGAGGGCTCCCGGGGGATGTCAACTGATGGCTTAGGCCTATTCCCTGGGGGGTGGGGTCTAAACTGGCAGTCAGACATCCCAGCTTAGACCCCACCCCCCAGGGAATAAATAGGCCTAAGCCATCAGTTGACATCCCCTAAGGCACATGTGTCAAACACAAGGCCCGCGGGCCAAATCCGTCCCGCCAGGCCTTCCAATGTGGCCCGCACCGCGCTGTCATCACTGCACTCCGCTGCGTTTCCATCACAATGACAGTTTATGACTGTTCAGTAAACCATTCGGCCCGCGATTTAGGCTGGATTTTAGATTTTGGCCCCTTCTCTGATTGAGTTCGACACCCCTACCCTAAGGAGCCCTGGACTGCGAAAGGGCGCAGGCTGGTCTGAGGGGGACCACCTCCCCCTTCCCCTCCCCCCGCCCCTAGTGCACTAATTTTCATTCACTGGGCCTCTAGTATATATTCTAAATTCATATGGCTATAGGTTTAGTCCTATTTTAGTGCATAGGAGTAATTTATAAGTGTTAGTTCTTACTAATGGTACATTTTAGAACTTGTACTTACCTCTGGAGAAACCATTAGCTACTGAGGAAGGTGAATAGAGCTTTGTTTTGCCAGGAATCCTCCTTGACCCTTTGAACCACTTTCCCATTTCCTTCTTCCTGTCACCTACTTAAAATTCAGTTCTCTTTTCCTATTCTACTTTCTGTACATGTTATTTCTTACCCCCCTTCAAGCCCTAGGGAACTCTATTTGAACTTGAATTTTCCTCAGTTCTTTTCTGATTTTTTTCTAAAACATATTTCTTCTTGAAAGTATTACAGATGTTCCAATTTTTCCCCATTGCCCCCCTCTACCCAGTTCCTGCCCCACCCCAATCCTTTATTACCCTGTTCTCTGTGTCCATAGGCAATGTATATATGCAGTGTAAGTTCTTTGATTAATCTCTTCCTGATCCCCTTCCCTGCTTCCCTCTAAGATTTGTCAGTCTGTTCCATGTTCCCATGCCACTGTTCTATTATTTTGTAAGTTTATTTTGTTCATTAGATTCCACAAATAAGTGAGATAAGATTTCTTATTTCTCTCGCTACAATAGGACATACAATTTTGGTCAGTCCCTGTTGCATCTGAGAGCTGTGTCTCTTCCTAAGTGACCTCATCAGGCATGGTGGCCAAACTCATGCCTGACATACCATGCAAATGCCACAGTAGGCAGACTGTGAAGTTACAACAGAAAAAGTTCAAGAAGTGTGCAAATGCAGTCACATGGTTTTGAGGAGCTGTGAGACATTTCTGAGAATCAGTGCTTTTTGTTCTGGGCATAGGAAAATACCAACAGCCAATATTACCCTGCTTCCTTACACTATTGCCTCTATTGTTAGAAGCAGTCATTGTGGCCTTCTGCTTCTTTTCCAGATTCCGATGGAGGAGGCGGTTGCTGGTGATCTCTGCTCCTAATGATGAAGACTGGGCCTATTCACAGCAGCTCTCGGCCCTCAGTGGTCAGGCATGCAATTTTGGTGAGTGGGAAGCCTCGTCATCTCTGCCTTCCCACACCACTCTCTTGCTGCTCAACTCTAAAATGAAACATAGAAGCTTAGCTCATTCAAATGTTCCCCAGTCCAGACTGTAGATTCCCAGACACTTACTCAGTTATATTGAGTATAAAGTTGCTTTTAGACTGGAGCCTTAGTCAACTGGGATCTATTTTCTTTTCTCTCAATATTCTCCCCTCTCAAATTCTTCATGAAAATACCTGTCAGTGATCTGTATTATGTCATGTGTATGTCTCAAGACCATATCTATCATTGTTTACCTAAGTTATGATACTCATCATTTACTTAGGTAATTCTGGACACTTCACAAATTAAATGTCTTTTGTACAACAGGAATGGTGTTGGAAATGAATGTATTAATTGAAGCACATTATGCTAATTTGCCATTCCTTTAAAAGGGCACCAAGAGATCTATTAAACAGAACCTTATTTTTAAGACAAGCAGGTAATAGAGAACTTTTTTTTTTGTAGTGAATTGCCCAGTGTTTTGAAAATAAATGAGTGTGTGTGTGTGTGTGTGTGTGTTCTTACCAAACATTATTATTCTAGTGATCTGGTACAGCTAATATCATTTTGAATGTAGGTTTTTAAAAAGGAAAATGCACAGTACATAGAATCATGGAGAAAATGACAATTCCAAAAGTGGAACTCCCAACTGAAGTCTCATTTAAGATACATCTCTGCAGAGAAAGAAGTTTTGAGAGTCCCGAGTGTGGAGAAGTAGCAGGGACCACTGTTCTTAAAAAAAGTTATTATTGGAATCAACATTATTTTTATACTTCTGCTAGGAAAGGAAATAATTTGTTATACAACTGTACTTGATTTATCAAAGGGGGAGGTGAGTTTTATAAAGCACCAACAGAGCCTGGATCCTTGCTATGTACCAGAAACGGTAGATTATAAAATACATTTCCGTTTTTATTTATGCTCCTTTTATTACAGTTAAAATTCAAGACTTTATATCAACATATATAAGATTTGATTGTGACACTATTCTTAAGCATATTTTAAATTATTTATAGCTACCAATGGTGCTAGTAAGCAGAAGTTCTTAGAGTAGTTAGTGACCCTTCACCATAAAAATATAAATAAAATCGTGACTTGTTAATTTTCTAAAGATGTCTTTGCTGCACATTATTGTAGGCAAACTCTTGTTTACAATATACAGGAAATGTGAACAACTCATGAATAAATTCATGATCTTTCCTTTTGGGAAACACAAGTCAACAACATATACAACAGAATGTTTTACTTCTCTGAAAAGAGTAAAGACCACAAAAACTTTTTTAAAATAATATTTTTGCTTTAAGCTCTTCCTTAAAAGAGACTTCCCAAAGCTGCTTTCAATTTTCTCCTCTGGACCAACAGTATTCATATTATTAGTCCCAAATTATTATGCTGACTAGGCTGGAACCTTGTGTAAGCCATGAGATCTTGAGAGAATGAATTGTCAGCCTCTTTGCCCTCCTGTTTCTTTCTTCGAACCCCTCCATGTGTGCTTCATCTTCAAAAGAATTCCAGTGAGCTGCCAAGGCATGACCTCTCCTTCCTGAAACTTTAGCTGAGGGTGGGGAGCAAACTGTGCTTACCTAAGTGTGACCTACCCTTTGAATCCTCAAAATAAGTGATAAGAACCTGCCTTTTAAACTACAAATTTTATTCGGGGAAACCAGAATTATTTCTTTAACAATCACAATGAATAAGGTCTCCAAGTCTTTTTTTCTGAAAGCAATCTATGTAATTTTATGTGACTTTTTTTTCAGAACACTGATCAGTTTAGATCATCTTAGATATTTTAATGTTCCAATGACTTTATTTTCCTTTTGTCATTTAATAAAGTCAGAATCACAGTTTTAGAGCAAATTCTTCTATTTTAATATACAAAAACAACACACCTTCAAAGCAAACAACATCTGATGCTGTTAATCCCCAAAATCTACAATTGTAGAAATATTTAAGTATTATATTTTCTTGTGGAGTAACTTAAAAATCGATTATTCTACCTAATTAGGTTATGTTCTATATTCTTTTTAAACATAGAGATTTTAATGGTTAGACATTGGTGTTTGGAATTAAAAGATGACTTAGAGTCCTTTCCTCTAATTCTATGGCTTTTTTTTCCCCTCTCAGGTCTGCGCCACATAACCATTCTGAAGCTTTTAGGCATTGGAGAAGAAATTGGGGGAGTCTTAGAACTATTCCCGATTAATGGTATAGTGTTGTTATTTTATAATAATTAAATTATATTGAATTTATTCTAACAGTGGGTATAACTCTAAGGTATACCCCATCTCCTTTGCACATAGGATGTGTGTGTGTATGTGTTGTGTGTGCGCGCCCATGCCCACACAGTATGTATGTAGAGGAATGGGAAGTGGAGTGAAAAAACTAACATTGTTTTCAATGTAAAATTACTCATAAATTATAGTAAAAATATTTACTTTATTAACTAGTAATATTTGACTGTTTACAAAGCATTTTCATCTATGTTATTTCATTTAATTCTCACGACGGTACTGTGAGGCCCATAGGTTATTGATTCCCTTTCAACAGAGGGAGATATACTGGTATACTAAAAGGCTCCAAAAAGCTGGAAGAAAGTGACTAGTGACTAAAGATTTCAGAAAGCATATCAAGTCCTTCCTTCCAAGATCAGGCTCTATACATGAGAAAATGTATATGAAATCCAGGCACAACGCTGGACAGTGTCAATACTCACAGTAATTCAAATACATTTACCCAGTGCTTATGTGATTCGTGTTCTTCACCTTTGACAATAAAATAAACTTTTAAAAAATACAGACAACAGCATCAAAAGAAAAACTGTAATTGCAAAGAACTAACTAAGCTAATTGGAAATAAACTTAGAAATGCAAACAATATAATCTTTGTTAATGATAAGTCTTAAATAAATTGATCTTGCAAGGATTAAATTAAGGGACTGGTTTTATATATTTAATATTCCTATAAAGAGGACATCATATGCACAGCAGGGACATTTCATTTGTAGTAGAAAAAAACCAGCAAACTTCTTTAATTGGATCTTGAGCTAAAGAGAATAGATCATGGGTCCTTTCTTCATTCTCACTGTGATTTCTTCTCACTTTTTTTTTTTTTTTTCCCTGAGTGCTCTCTTTAATCCACTAACAATTTTTCTAATTCTATTCTAGGGAGCTCTGTTGTTGAACGAGAAGATGTACCAGCCCACTTGGTGAAAGACATACGTAACTATTTTCAAGTGAGCCCTGAGTACTTCTCCATGCTTCTAGTTGGAAAAGATGGAAATGTAAAATCCTGGTATCCTTCCCCAATGTGGTCCATGGTGATCGTGTACGATTTAATTGATTCGATGCAACTCCGGAGACAGGAAATGGCCATTCAGCAGTCACTGGGGATGCGCTGCCCGGAAGATGAGTATGCAGGCTATGGTTACCATAGTTACCACCAAGGATACCAGGATGGTTACCAGGACGACTATCGTCACCATGAGAGCTACCACCATGGATACCCTTATTGAACAGAAATATGTAACCTTAGCCCAAGTCAGTTTTCCTTCATCTGTTAAAGCCACATGTGGCCAGATACGTAAAGGAGTTCTGCCTACATTCCACACTGCCCACTACATTCCCTTCCTTTTTCTTTCTGTGTTCTTCCACGATTAAATAATAGCAAACCGTGGCCTACTCATGAGTTGTTATTGAAGCCTTAAGTCATAAAGGCATTTGAAATAAGTATTTGTTTTTCTAACTGGAGGGGAGCTGGTGCTGAAAAATGGTTTCTGAAAATGGATATTTTACTTCTCTTACATGATGAACATGATTTGGAGTACAAAATTCTATAGAATAAGTAATTATGTCTGTCTTCTATTTTTTTTAGTGTCCATTGGTAAGTGCAAACTATGTATGATCAAGGACATTAAAGATCACAGCACATATTTTTAGGACACATCTGAACAACTGGGGCAGACAGAAGAGATAGTTTCTTAACCTTTTTTGAAATGTCTGTCAAGAAATGATTAAGATGGCTCTGCTTTCTTCATGGTGTTATTTTCTTTCATGAAGCTTGATACCACAGGAGTCCATTGATACTGGTTACCAAACCAGAGAAAGCACCTAACCTAGTCTTTCTATTATAGCCACCTCCTGCTCTGTTGATCTTACCTTGAGTTTGAGATGGGGCAGGGAAGAGGAATCCCTAAGTCAGCAGCAGACTCTGAACCAGCTGCTAAAGGTGATACCTACAGAGTTCTAGCAGGTACTGTAGATTTCCTGGCATGGAACACCTTGACCTCTCACTGTTGACCCCTGTTCTTATTTGCTAATGAGCCCTTTACTGCACAGGACCTTGTAAAATAAAATTACAAAGAAGGGGATTCTATTCATGAGTTCTTTTATGCTGTCAAAGGCAAATGGTACTATATCACAGTGGATAAAATTGAAGCTGGGAAACAAAATATAATTCTTTTTTTTTTTTAAATAATTTTTTTTTTTTACATATGACAAATAAATTAAATACTTTCCTTCCCCCCTTCCTTCCTTCTTTCCTACTTCTCTTTTTTCAACAAACAACTGCCAAGTACTATTAGCAACTAATATCGATGAAATGGCCTTGAGGCAGTCAGTCAGAATCTCAGGCTGACAGTGCCAGCCTCTATCAATAAAGGGATGCTTATTTTTCCCCCACTGCTAATAATAACTAATTCTCCAAATAATGTTTGGTTGGTTATTAAATCTAATGAGCAATGAGCGAAGATATTGATAACTACCTTCCGAGGCACATGTGAATGTTCCCTATTAACTCACCTGTGCCTATTTGTACAAATCTGTCTTCACAACATCTGAACTTTATTACAATTTCAGTAAAAGTGGAAATTGTGACTACATGAGTTTGAGAAAATCTCTTGTTTTGTCTCTCATTCTCCATGAAGATCATTCTTACCCATTATAGAGGCAACTGAGATCTGGAAAGGTCAAGTGATGTTAGGACACAGTTGTCTTATTCTTTAAATTCTGGTCCCACCACATCCCTCTTGCATGGTAGAGAGCTTTTCTTCCTCACTCCTTCCAGAACAGCCTATACCAGCTGCTAGAGACAAGCAAGGGAAAGAGCCAGATTGATGTATGTTATTCTAAATTTATGCCAAGGTGAAGCACAGCTTAAAATTGCCAATAAAAATGAATTTCTTTAGCATTGCTTCTGAAATAATGTAGGGGCAATGCTTAAACAAGGGGCCCAAATAGTCTCAGTTTTAGGAAATATGATAATGAGGGAATTTCATCTCCCAAAGCAATGAATTTTTTTAAATATATTTTTATTGATTTTGTACAGAGAGGAAGGGAGAGAGATAGAGAGCTATTATAGAAACATCGATGAGAGAGAGTTATCTATCAGCTGCCTCTTGCACACCCCCTACCGGGGATATGCCTGCAACCAAGGTACATGCCCTTGACCGGAATCGAACCCGGGACCTCTCAGTCCCCAAGCCGACGCTCTATCCGTTGAGCCAAACCAGTTTCGGCCCAAAGCAATGAATTTAAATAGAACTATAAAATTTACTTCTAAAATAATATCAAGTAAAGTTGTAGCTCCTACAATCAAAGAACAAGCATTTTTCATAAGCTCAGATTACTTTTTCAATTATTCTTCTGGTTTTGCTTGCACTGAGATTAGTAATTAGCAATGTTTCTGACTCTCCTTTCTCTAATGAGAGGGGCCTAAAAATTATAGGTCATCATTTGGAGCACTCTAGAATTAGCCATAGCTCAGCAAAAACCCTGAAATACCTTCGGAGGAAGGTGCTATTGGTAAAAGTCCTCAAATTCTACAATCTGGTAAAATACAAAGTATTCTCCAGCAGATGAGAAAATTGGATATTTAGGTAACATGAGTCTCTGTCTTCTGGGGTATAGATCAGAGAGTTTGAAATCTGGTTATTGTTTTTCAGTAAAAGCATTTCTTTCAAAACCATAGCAACAACAACAACAAAATAACAGTAAGGAACAAAAAATATATCATTTTTAGAAGGACTGTGAAATTATGGTATTTAACAAGAAAAGCAGCTGGTTGAGTTAGGGAAAGCTGGATGATCCTGAAAAGGACAAAGCCTTGCCAAAATCAGTGTTGTCACAGCTCCCTGCCACGAATTTCAATAATTTTTTACCAGAGCAATCCCAGGGTCTACGGTGAATATTAATTCAGCAGAGAGTTCCTTCCCCTGCTACAGAGGCAGGAGGGTGAGGTGCAGTGGAGCCTGGGGAACCCAAATGGTCTCATTTTCTGGAGGTTAGTTAATAATGAAACTCACACCTTCTCAACTTCTAGAGCATCGAGGATAAAAATAGCTCAAGACCAAGAAGGATAGTAACATCAGTGGGCCCCGATTATTGATCTCAGGACTCAGTCATGAGTGGAGATTACAAATACAGAGGCTTCTTGAAAAGAAACTTTGTCCATTGCTCTGCCACCACAAATTCTCCTTTCCCTGTCGATAGCTTTCCTTTCTTCCTCTCTCCTTCTCAGCTGCTCTCTACTTAATGGGTTGGGGCAGTGGTCAGCAAACTCATTAGTCAACAAAGCCAAATATCAATAGTACAATGATTAGAATTTCCTTTGAGAGCCAAATTTTTTAAACTTAAACTTCTTCTAATGCCACTTCTTCAAAAACAGATTCACCCAGGCCATGGTATTTTGTAGAAGAGCCACACTCAAGGGGCCAAAGAGCCGCATGTGGCTCGCGAGCCACAGTTTGCTGACCACGAGGTTGGGGTGTGCAGAGAGTGCAGTGTGTAGTTAATGAATATTCTTAACTTCATGGCAAAAATGAAGCACAGTTAAAATGCTAACTCCTTCTCTTCAGTTCTCTCAGAGTTGGTGCAAAGCTCCCAATGCCAGACTTCCTCTGAGTTTTGTACATGTGATCATGAGCTCAAGAATCAAGGTTATGGAGATGCTTTGTTTTGGTCTCAGCCTATGACAGTGCTGCTATCAGCTAGGAATGCCTGAGACACTCATACTGTGGTGGCAGCCCCCACAGACATTTCCCTGAGCAGAATCATGTGGTGGCCTTGTCCTTATTATGATTGCAAGATGCACTTCAGCTACACCCTCAGGGAGCTTTGAAAAAAACTGATTTATTACTCACAGGTCATGGAACTAGGTCATAGGAAGAATGGGAACCAGAGGTTTTGAATTTATTGGGGTCAAAGATAGGGTACCGAGGGCTTCATGGGTTCACACCTTATTGGTGAATTTAAAACATAAAAGCAGAAGTTAAAGTGAAGGAAGAAAAAAAACAGGGTGACTCAAGTGATCAGTCATCTAGGTCATCGAGGGCTTTCTACAAGGGGGACTTCAGCCCTGGCCAGGTGACTCAGTTAGTTGCAGTGTTTTCCTGTACACCAAAAGGTTGTGGGCTCCATCCTGGTCGGGACCCATACAGGAGACAATGGATCAATGTTTCTCTCTTATATTGATGTTTTTCTCTTGCCACCTTTTTCTCTGAAATCAATAATAATATAATTTTAAAAATCCTTGGATATTTTAAATAAATAAAAATAAATAAATAGGAACTTCATGGATAGGCAACTGGCTCTTTATTTAGTTATGTAGTTGACAATATGTTTATTCAAGACGGATGTCTTCTAAATGAATGCCTTTGTAAGCCAAAGTTGTTGTCCAATAAGTACATTAAAAACCAAGAAGCTAATTGTCAGGCACTTATAGTGCAGGTAGTGAGGGCAAAAGGTTGCTGGTCTTGGGACAACTGCTGGTTCTTGCTTTGCCATGTACTCACCTGTGACTTGAGATGAGTCCCCTTACCTCTGGGGCTCAGTTTCTCATCTCCAAATAAGATAGTAGGACTAGGTATGTAAGTTTCTGTTGAGCCCTGACATTTATGAATCTGTCTTGACCTTTAAGGAGTAGGCTGCTAAGCTCAGAGGTTTCCTGTGGTCAAAATGAATTGACTTCTCAGAGAATCCAGACTCTGTAGTTCAGAATTCCATTCCAGATGTTTAGAGGGTTGGGGAAAAGGTATGAAATAACCTCCCCGAGTTCTTCCCAGCATAGTGCACTGCTGCAGCTAAATAAAGGAGGTCATACACCTAACAACAGAAACCCTCCTCCTCTCCTTAGAGCCAGACTGGCATTTCCAAGAATATTCAGGTTAGCAAAGACTGTGAGCATCCTGAACGTTAAGGAGTCCCTCCCACAAGGCATCGAGTTTCCTAACTTGGTGACCATATGCATCATTTCTTTCCTGAAGCTTGGACAAACTGGGCAGTCCCTTGCTGACTTCAGAGGCCTTACATATTAGTGCTTTCTTCTAGCAAAAGAATGGTCCTCCATCCTTCAATCTACTGGTGGATACATGTGATAAGGAGGCTGGGTGAAGATACAGGGTGATTTTAAATGGATAAAACTGATCCTGGGTGACAATTTGGCTTTGCTCTTCCCCCATAAGCACCCCTTTCCTCTCTCCTGGCCCTTTCCCCCTTTCCAAGGGCCCTCTGCCATGACCCATTCTGACTCACGGATGGCTATAACTGATTAGGTGTAACTGAGAGCCTGAAGGTGCCACGCTTTCCAAGGATATTTGCAATGCAAAAAGGAGATACTTGAAGGTGGGAGGGAGAGAACAGCTTGTCAAACCCTTTCTAGAAGTTTGCCAACCCCTGGAAACAAG